TTTTTTTTTTTTTTTTTTTTTTTGCCAAACCTTTTTCCTAATCAGTATGTTCCATTGAACCCCAAGATCTTCCCATGGTTTTGTAGATGTTGTTGTCAGTACAAATGATAAGTCAATTAGAGTGTTTTTGTGGCAATATTCCTCAGAAATCTTTTTCTTTTTCTCTCTCTTAGTTTCTCCCATCACCTTTTTTCTCTCAAGTTCTTGGAATCTTGATATATAGGCTATCTTTTCCATGTCCAGTATTTCCTGGAAGTTTTTCTCCATCTGGATTACATCACAGTTCCTTCCATTATTAAATTCCATCTCTTAAGTTTCTTTCCACTAGTTTATGTTCAGTTATCTGCTTTACTTGATCTCTCTCTCTCTTTGTTTTCTGATCATTTGTTTATTGTGACGTTAAATTGAGAATGTATTCATTTAAGTTTTCAAATTTATTTTTAATTTCCTCATGGTTTGAAATTAATGTCATTTGTATTTGTTGTAACATAACATACATTTCCTCCTGGGAAGTATTTATTTTTTCTTGATATGTTCTTTCTGCAGACCTCTGATGCTCCATAATGACAAAAAATCAAAGTTTTCCTTTCTCTGCCAATCGCTTTAAAGTCACAGTTTAAAAAGTATTTATAATCCAGGAAGGTCATTTTTTTCTAGCTTTTATAATTCTCGCTTTGTAGATAGTCTACAATGTTTTCTTTTATTGCAGCTGTTCTTTGTTTAGCTAAAGCTTTCAAGGTCACACTAACAAGTTTTTTCTGGGCTGTATATTTAGGGCAGTATTTTCATCCACCACTAGAGGTCAGCACCAGTTCAGTTTTCAAAACAAATAATTACCATTTATTTCCATCAGTCATCTTTTCCCAGGAGGATCTTAACATAATCCATCGATTTCACACTTTCCAAGTTTAAGTCTTGATTTCATTTCTGTATAATTCTATTCCCCATACATTTAATCTACTGTTTCCGTTTAGAGAAGGGTGGAGCAGAATTTCCCCCCCCCTCACTTTCAGAGGATTTTTACTTCTGGGTTTTGTTTTGTTTTTCAGGAAATCAATCAGGTAGAAGAGAGAGAGTCAGTATTCTTACACAGTTCAATCACGCTATTTACGATCACGCTTAATTTAGTACTTTTTGGCTTCAGCTGCATGTAGCTTGGGCTAAACTCATGAATGACGCTAGCCTTTCTTCTGGTTTCTGGAGAGCTTTCCGCCAGACGTCCAGATTGACCGCCGTCTCTCCACAACCGGCGGGGCTTCTTTCCTTCTTTGTCACCTCTTGGGGTGCCTTTTGGCCCATTTAGGGTCCCCAAACAGAGAAATCAGCTGTAGGGTGCGGAGCCCCGTAATCCCTTGGCTGTTGCGCTAACTGTGCAAACCCGGAAGCCCAAATATTACTTGTACATTAATGGAGGCCTCCAGAGAGCGACCTGGGAAGGCATTGCAGGGGAGAGCCAAGATAGTCTATGGCAGCCAAAAGTCAAGACAAGAAAAGAAAGGAGTACCACAAAAAGTGCTACCAGACATATTCCACTCCTAATGAGGAGTGGAAATTTGGTAAAAATTGCAACTTTATGAACAACATGGAAAGAGAAGAGTTTTTCTTCCCTCATATGTGATGTTAGAATTTGAGTTCATCCATTGAAATCCACAGAGGGAGAAGCAGTTTGCACATGGTCAGAGTATGGAATTGGCTGCCAGCCAGTTTGGGCAGTTTCAGAAGAGAAGGATTATGGAGAAAGCCACTCTACTTGCTGCCAAGGCCGTTGACCTTCTGCCTCGAAGACAGCCTACTTCAAGTAGGGGTGCCTGGGACCCCAGGACAAGAGGCTGCTCAGATGATGAGCTTCCCAAATGAACCCACTGATGACCACGGCAGACTGGCTGAGGTCCTGATCTGAAGTGCATTGTCTTTTGGGGGGGGGTACGTAGATCACTTGAAGGAATGTAAGAGTGTTCTTGAAATGCAATTCTTGTAGGAAGAAATAACTTGAACCTTTCCTGTATTCCTGCTGTATTTATTTATTTATTTATTTATTTTTCTTTTTTGCAGGTTGGTGACATTGTGAAGGTCACAAGGATGAATATCAATGGTCAGTGGGAAGGAGAAGTGCATGGTAGAAAAGGGCTCTTCCCCTTCACACACGTCAAAATAATTGACCCTCAGAATCCTGATGAAAATGAATGACCTGCTGGCCCATCTCTGCATTGTTGCTTCCTTTTTCTGGCTATCTTGAGCATCATTTGAAGTGTGATGGTTGCTGATGGCGAATCCTAAGGATTGCCAGTCGCCCATCTTTCCATCTTGCAGTGATTTCACAGCCCGACCACGCCTTTCTTGGGAACGCACCTTGTGGTCTGGCATTTGCAGTTTCTCCTAGAAGGTTTTTGGATTGTGAGCTGACTGTGGTGCTATCTAGGCAGAGGGGGAGGGATTGAGACATCCAGTTTCTTCGCTGAAATGGATATTTTGCTCAGAAAGAGAATTCTAAACAATTTTGTCTAACTCCAAACAATAATAAAAATGCATTTTTATGAGGCATGGAAGACGAGAGAATATAATCATGTTAAACAATTAGAATAATTATGCCTTTAGGGAATTATTGATGCTTCTGTGTCACAAAGAGGGGTTTTTTTTTGAGTTTGCCATTGATTTAGAATAAATTGTAGCAAACTCTTTTGAAAACTACATTTCCTCATTGTCATCTTTTTATAACTATGTATATAATTGATTCATTTGCCATATACCTGCCTAAACCTGTTTGATTCAGATTTATTTAGATCTGAAATGATACTTCAGGCACTAAATACAATTTTTTAGAAGAAACTTACACAAGCTTTGATGAAACTACACTTACCCCTTTAAAATCAAAAGGTTTTTTTAAAAGCAAAAACTAAGCATTGATAATCAGTTACAGAGAATGCAACAATAACTCAAAGGATATTCCTGAGCCTTTGTTTTCTGCATAGAGGCACAGGAGTACAAAGTCTTCATAAAATCATTTCTCTGTGCTAACTTTAAACACAATAAAATATGATAATTAAGAAACTTGAGTGTTGGTTATAGCACGTGAAGACCTTGACTCCCTGAGTGATGTTTTTGAAAGTTCACTGGTGCTGGTCTCTTAAGCCGTTGGACCTCAGGAGTGACGTATCCAACTTAGTATTCAAGTGCCTTAATCTGAGGATGACAGGTGCTGAAGGGGGCAGTTGGAGCAGTTTGGTCTAGAGAGAAACCTTTTCAGATCACCAGCAGTGCTGGGCAAGTGGCTGATGGTCTGGGGAAAGGACTGTGAATTAGACTCGCCTGGATGCTGCGTAATCAACCATAATGTGGCTGTTCTATTAAGTGCCTGGGCACGTTCTAATGACTGTTGTACTACTGAGCTTTGTGTTAGGAATATTTAAGCTGCACTAAATGTCAGTCTGCCGTTCAATAATTCTGCCTTACAGCTGGCCTAATTCAGGGCAATATCTAAGCTGTGTATAAACGTTTTGGCTTGATGAGCTGCAGAGCGAGCAAATAAACCTGGAATTAAGCTAATTGTGGTTCTGCTGGGCTACTGGTAGAACAGCCAACACTTTCCTTTTTCTTTGGTTAGCTCCACCCTCAGTTGCTTTCTTGGTAAACAGAGTTTGGAGTTTCATAGACAGCTATGCAAGTGAGTCTCAAGCCATTGTCAAAGGCCACAGGAAGAGAAGCAGCAGTCAGTGGCCTTCACACCCATCTGAAGTAGACTTGGAACAGCTTTGGTCAGAGCTGGTAAAGGCAGTTCAGACACAGCATACTAAATTAATTTGATGGTACATTTCAATGGCATCCAAATGTTGGCTACTTTACTGCTTTTTTCTCTGTTTTGTTTTTTCCTACCTAGAGAAGTTGGATGTGCTCTTGATTGTGAATGTCACAAAGGATAAACTGTCCTTGCTGTTTCCTTATGACTTGTGTGTTCAGAGACCTTCCTGTGGACACCAGCTTCTCTGCATAATTGTGAGGATTTTTTCAGTCTGTGCATTTTCATGTAAGGTATTAAAAGCTTTGAAATGGAATCCTTGTCGGGTGACTCAGAAATTAGTTCACTAATTGAGCAGGAGTGTGCAGGGGCAAACCTTCAAATTGTGGCCATTGGCTGTGGATGGTCTTCCGTTTCTTCATTGCCGCAATTGGCAGGCAATCGGTTAGCAGGCAAGTCCTAAAAGCCGTCCCTCACCAGGGAAGTCCTGACTGAGATCAAGGAAGGTCTTAAGGGTTGTCATATTAAGGAGTGAAAAGCATTTGTTCTGATATTTCATGTGTGTTTTTATTTTACTTTGCTGGGTGTGTGAGGGTGTGGATTTGGAAATGAAATATTGTAGAATGAGAATATCTGAACACTGGTTTGGCTGCCCCGTCAGTAATAATTTTTTTGGGTGTCTCCAGCTGAATGTGATTGTTGGTTGCCATTCTATGGTGGGAAAGGGTAGCCTGAAGTTCACACATCTTTTCAAGTCAGTAAAGCATTTGAATTCTGGGCAGTTAGATGTTGGGGAGAGGGCTCTCTGGCCTCCAGGAAGATTTGGGGGATGCCTAGCTGAAATAGGCAGTGTAAAGTTATGTGGGAAAGGGGTGTTTGTGAGATGCTGCCTAGGGACAGGATAACCCACAGCTGCACAGTGGGTGGAGCAAGAGGTTCAGAAGGGCCCCCTCCCTAATTTATCAGTCTGTAAAGGACACAGTGGAATATTTGTACTTTCAGACTTGCAAGATTCTGTTAACGTAGCTTTACAATAAGATTATTAGACCCAAATCCAAAGACAACACAGTGAAATCCTATCAACTCCAGTCCTTTATTAGTCTACTTCTAATGGCAGAATCTTGCCAAACTAAAGCTATGATTTTCTACCTTAATAGATGTTATTAGGGTGGATTGACTAGAACAGAAGTCCCCAACCTTTTGGGCACCAGGGACCGGTTCCATGGAGAGAGGTTTTTCTGTGGACCAGAGGGGGCGTGGTTATGTGTGCTGCCTGCATCTTGCAGATGGGGCTTTGCTTGTTTGTGCAGACCGGTTGCTTGTATCCTGCGGCCCGATACCAGTCCACAGACCAGGGGTTGGGGACCCCTGGACTAGAAGACCTCCAAGGTCCCTTCCAACTCGGTTATCTATCCTGAGAGATTCTGGGTGTGGCTACTCAGAACCACTTCCCTGGCAAAGCTCTGCTTCTCCAGGTGCACATTCCATCACAAAGATAGAATTAGGTTATTTGGTCGTGGTTCCTGTCTGGTCTATTGACATCAATCTTGCAATCTTTGCAGCCCAAGAAACTAGGAAGAGTCCCTCCTGAGCCTCTTGCTCCGCCCTCTATTCCCCGACTCTTCCCTGGGCTGCCTCTCCTCCCCATGCCCCAAGGTCTTTCTCACACACCAGTGCAGGCTGCCAGTCCGCTTCTTTGGGCCGAATGAGATGGACCGAGGCTCTTGCTCACCAGGGACCGGCTCCTGAGATTTGTGGACTTTGAGGGTTTGTCCTGTTTGAGGGTTTGTCATGGCTTTTTATTTTATGCTACAAATTAACAGTATTAAGTATATTTTTAGAACACATTAAATGTGTTAAAATTAGTGCCTTTTTGTTTTCTTAATATATTTCACTACTGGTCCCACATCGAGCAAAGGAGTTCAGTGCCCTGTTTGTATTACTTTCAATAAAACATGCATCCTGTTTGCAGAATTCTTGTCCCATTTCTTTCCTTGGCAAACCTGTCACCCGGCTCTGAGTAAAAGGTAAAGAACGAGGGGTTTTAGTGCCCTGAGCAGCAGACCTCTCCCTGCTGGCCGCTTCTCCCTTACAGGCAGAGGGCTCTAAGGCAGATGACCCCATCCACTACCTTCCCCCCCCCCCAAAGCCTTGGTGCAATCCAGACAATTTGATTTACATATGGATTGAATTAGTTTTTGTCCTGAGCTCATCCCAAGGTACCACAGAAATGCAGGTGGAACATTTTAAAATGTATTTTATGAACTCCCATCACCAGAGAATAGCTGGACAGAATATTGGAAGAGAGGAGCTATTTTGTTACTCTTCACATTGGAAAGGTGGTGAGAAGGGTGTGCAGACCAGAACAATGGAACAGCCACTTCATAGACTGACAAACCCCCTTCCAGAATGTGGCGAGTGTGTGGTGATGCTCTAGGAGACCTTGAAATGTTGCTTCCTGCGGGTGGTAAGTTGTGTGCATGAAGGAAAGCAACACTTTGTTGGGACCTCGAATCTTGTGTTCAAAAAGGTGGCCAGGAAAAAGACGTGAGTCTTCTCAGATGCCGAGTGAACCCGGGGGCACCCACTTCCCAATAGGACTGTTCCCCTTTGCCTCCAGCCCTGAAGCGAGTGGCAAGTCACCCCCAAAACATGGAATCTTGTGTACAGTGTTCAAATGTCCAGTGATTACCCAGTAGTCCTCCGGTGATACCTGTTAGCAATAAGGCCTTGTCACCTTTGCAGAAGGCATATTTGGGGTGCCTCCTGCCCATATTCAGCACCCCTCAGAGGAAAGGTGCCTTCTCACCAACATGCATAAGGGAACAGAGAGCATTGGCTCCAGTCTGCCTTGCCCCCAGCGGTAGATGCTGAGCTCCCTGCAGAGAAGGCAGCATAACTTCTAGCCCTGTATTCACTGGGTGGGGGAACCATCCACTGGCTAAAGCTTTGATCCAGAGCATAGGGCACACACATTAGCCCCTGGGATCTGGGTTTGCCAGCCGGCTCTTCAGCATGTCCAGTCACCTCAGCGTTGTCCTGCCAGAGTGGAAGGGGCAGAGTGGCAGCCAAGCTTTCATGCTCAGGAGCCAAGGGGAAGTCCAGCTGATGAGGCCTGGCCCAGAATTCATTGAAGGTGCTCAAGTCCTTGAAAGGGGCTGGCAGAGGTATCTCACCAATTGCAGGAAACCTGAGGGATAGAGAAGACAGAGTTGCAAATATTTGAAGAAGCAGCCAACTGGTCGTTGTAGCAGGGGAGGGGGCAGGTGACCACTATGGTAAGAAATTACTGATAGCTGTTGCTTTGCCAAAATTAAAATCATCTCATTTCTCCCACCCTTCAGTTGCTCCACTGAAGTTTCTTGGTTTCCTTCAGTTCCACAGATATTTGTCCTTTTAATTTCATACTTTAATATTAGCTGTCTATCCACATCAAGATGGCTTGGCAAGAAACCTAGTTATTGAAAACCTGGAGACACAATAGTTTAACAATCATCCAAACTGAAGTTCTGAAATTCTGGGTCAAAACTTTGTACAGAAGGGGAAAGTGGGTTAATGACCCAGGTTCTTTGCTCGCAGGGCAACTGATAAGACCTTGCTTCCTGTGATAATTCTTGTTTGTCCAAGTACATTTTGTAAAAATACATTTGACAGAAAAAATTGAAATATTCTGAACACAAAATTTAATACTCAGAATAGTCATTATTGAGTGCTCCAAGTCTAGATAAAACCCAAATTTGGAACAAATCAGCCTATTTGGCCCCAAAGCAAAGCAGAAGCAGTACGTGCCATTCCATATTGTTTAGGTCCAATGTTCCACAACTGTCAGCCTTACAAGATGGATCCAATAGGAAACAATCAGATGAATTGTAGCATCTAAAAATACATCTCCCTCCCCCCTTTTACAGCTTGAGAAACTAGGGAGGGTCCCTTCTGAGCCTCTCAGCCTGTCTTAATTTACATGCAAGAATATGGGCCAGAGATCCCCACTGAGAGTGCCAAAGTCACCCTGGCACTGGAAGGGGCCGTGTCTTGTTGGATGGTGACACTCCACAGCCTGAATGTACCCGAGCTGAGAAACTTTGACCGCTTCATGACAGATTCGAGAATCCCCTGGCTGACTGCAAAGCGAGGGATCACATCAAGACCCGTGAGGCAAGGTCACTAAGCTGTGGCAGAGTACACCAAGGAGTTTTGTGATCTGGCATGTTGACTCAGCGACTGGCCAGAGGACATCCTCATCAGCTGCTTCAAAGACGGACTGAACGATGACCTGTACAACCCCTGCGTCTCGAGCCCCCCCCCCGCAACCCTCCACCACTGGTATGTCCTAGCAGAGGAGGTGGAAATCGACCAAACATGCAACAAGTACCACGCCACGCAGCCATGGAAGAAATCACCCAGTTCATTCCATCATTCGCACAAATAGCCCTCCCTATCACAAATCTGCTAAAGACCAAAGGGGGGGCGGACAAACCTAAACCCAGTCAACCTCTAAAATGGATGAGTGAATGCCAGGTGGCATTCAAAAATCTTAAGCAACTGTTTGCAGCTGAATCAGTCCTAAAGCATCCTGACCTGAGAGCACCATTTGTTATTCAAGTCGATGCTAGTGCGTGGACACTGTAGTTTCTAGGAAACTATCAGAGACTAAGCAAAGGTGTGGGCCATTTGGGAGAAGGAGGCATATACAGTGAGATGGGCACTCCTGTCTTGGAGGCACTTCCTAGAGGAGAGCAAGATACCTTTCGAGGTGGGGACAGATCACAAAAATTTGGAGACACTGGGTAGGGGGTAGGCTTTATGTATCCCAGAAACTCAAAGGCTGATGGTTTTGGGGAAAGGCCATGATTCCAAATTGGTGGGACACTTTGGTTTGTAAAGACTTTGCATTTGATAAAAAGACAATTCTGGTGGCCGTCTCTCAGGAAGGACATTGAGGGCTATGTGGCAAGCTGCCTTGTATGTGCTGAGCCTAAACAAAGACTGGAAAACTCTAGGACTTCTTCAAATTGTAGCTGAGCCTTCAGCACCCTGGAGAGAGAATTTGTCCGAAATGGTATAAGGTTTCCTGCCTGAGCAGGGGTTGGACTCGATGACCTCCAAGGTCCCTTCCAACTTTATTATTATTATTATTATTACTTCCAGAGAGCTCAGGAAACACCATTATATGGGTCGTAACTGATTTATTGTATATACTTTATTCCATGTCCAAAAATCCCATCAGTGCAGGGGCTAGCCAAATTATTTTTGCATCATATTTACCGATTACATGGGACACCTCAAGGCATCATTTCAGATAGGAAGGGTGCAATTCATTTCTAACAAAATGGGGGTTTTGAACACGTGAATTCAGTATTGGAACAATATCTCCGATGCTTTATTAATTATCAGCAAGATTATTGGACTGATCTGTTGCCTATTGCAGAAGTGGCTTACAACAATTCTGTACATAGTAGCACAAGATTCACTCCTTTCAGGGTGGCCATTGGTCAAGACTTTACTCCTATGCAGAAACTACCCCTGAAAGACCCTTTGGTGGCTTCCCAATTACAAAACACATGGTCTGTTGTGAGAAAGCCCTTGTAGATGTCTGAGAAGCTTACAAAACTCAAGCGGATAAGAAACGCACAGAACCCAAAACATTCAAAATTGGTGATCATGTCTACCTCTCCACATGTTACCTACAGTCTCTGCTGGGACCCAAGTTTGTGGGGCCTTTTCCCATTAAGCGTATCATCAATCCTGTGACTGTAGAACTAGACTTGCCAAAATCCCTGCATAGGGTCCACCCTGTGTTCCATTGTAGTCTGTTAAAACTTGAGGTTGTTTTTCCTTTTACACCAAGCCTTCCACTACCTCCTGCACCACTAATGGTCAAGGGGGAGCAACATTTTGAAATTCGTGAGATTTTAGATTCCTGCAGGCATAAAGGAGAAATCCAATATTTAGTCTCGCGAAAGGATTTCCCCAAAGCTGAGCATGAGTGGGTGAATCACTGTCACCTCAGGGCTCCCAGACTTGTAAAATATTTTCATAACCAATACCCTGATAAACATAAATGAGTGTATACATTAATCCCATGTTTTCTTTCTCTCCCTATTCTTTGCATGCTTTCGCTTTTGCTGTAACCGCTTGGGAATTAGGGAGTGGGACTGTCTTTGGAGAAGAAACAGACTTCTTCCCAGCCTGGAGCGTGTGGGCTTCTTTTCCCACTGGTGCTGTGCTATACAGGAGATACCATAAAGGTTTCCCTGGGGAAGGGGGAGGCCAGTGAGGAGCTAATTGCCCCATCAGCCTCCTTTTAGAGACCCTCCAACAGCAGTAACAGAATCACTAAATGACTTTCTCAAGCCGGATCCCCTCCAGAGAAAGAGAAGATCACTCAATGACTTCTAGCAGTTCAGCGTTTTTCTTATAGAAACATGAATTGGAAAACAGGAACACAAAAAAATAGAACAAAAACCGGAACAAAAGTCAAATGCAGTGAAGAAGCTTGGGAGTCTCTTTTGGTGTGAAAAGAGGAAGTGCTTCATTCATCTCTGATCTGCAGAAAAAAATCCTTGGCCTCAGAATGGGTAGCTTAGTTAGTCTACTTTCTCAAAAGACCGATGTAGTTGTAGTAGGAATCCAAGCAGATTGTGCCCTCCAAAGTTCAAGAAACCACAAGGCACCGTCTGTCTCTGGTCCTCTCCTTCCAGGCCTCTCCTAGCCTCCCCCAGCCCCCATCTTAATCCTGCTCCTCCGGCACTCCCCGGGTGGGTAGAGAAAGGAGCCCAGGGTCAGCCGAGCAGGAAAAAGGGCTCAGAATGGGGCACGGGGCAAGGATTAGACCCAGCCTTTCATGGCCAGGCCCGGGGGGGGGGTCCTTGTTCAAGGATGTGATGACATCAGCTGAATTTCCTGATTTTGAATAAGATTATTTGGGCTTATTGTTAATCTCAGGCATGTAGTATAGTGAAATAATATTAAATATGTACCATTCTGGGCCTACCTGGGTATTATTTCCTTGCAGGTACTAATGACAGTAGAAATCTGGCCTTATTGGATAGAAAATTTAGATGTGATATTTTGAAATGAGAAAGTGACACTTTGGCTTAATCATTTTAAAGTAATTTAAACATTTAAAAGCTGTTTAATCACTTTTCCATTTTAAAATAAGTTAGTAATTTTTTTTCCTGAAAACATGTCCATGCAACTTTAATCAGCCATTAGCAATTCTGACACTTTATAAAAGGAACATAATTTAGCTAGAAAGGCTGAATAGTCACACACCCTTGTTGGCTGTTCACTTGTTACCCACACTGGCCCTGATGCCCTTTCAGCTCAAAAAAAAAACCATCAGGGCTATTACTTTTCTTTGAAAAAAACCTTCATTGAAAATAAGCCAACAAACAATGTATTATTACAAAACAAAAAACCCAACCTCACAAAATAAATGTGGACAATCCATGAGAAATTCCAAGTAGAAAATTGGAGTATCCTATATTAGTAGCTTCAGATTTCAAGGACTACTAGTTTTTTATTTATTTAATCAAATGCCTATCATGACTTAAAACCCAACTAGTCTGACAAAAAAAATACTCTCCAGAATCAATTGGTTGCCTTAAAGAATGATTGAAAAAGGTTGTGTCTCATTGTTTTTACCCTGGAGGTAAAATCACTTTGAAGGAACTTGAGTCCAGATGTTATGGGGGTGTCCAATTCCTTACTGGCTATAAGTGAACCAGGTTTTTGAAGGCAGATAATGATTATAGATGGTATTATTTTAAAATTGTATTCCAAAATTTTTAAATTGTACAACATGGATACACAGTGTTTGGACAGTGGCAAAAAAGGTAAATATTTGCATTCTAGACCCTAAATGTTGGCTTCATGAAATGTTTCAGCCCCTGAAATAGTTTTGCATTTATGGAAAGGCAGCCTGGGACCTAGCGCCCCCCCCCCGCCCCGTGGTTGAGATTCAATTGATGGTATAAAACTTGAATTGACTGAAAATTAGAAAAACATTCCATAATGTCAGTATCTTGAGATCGCATCTACAATACATCTACTTATCTTCTATCTGTAAATGAACCTTTCCTAGGACTTGGGTGGTTTTTCCTCTCTGGTTTCGCTTCTCTTGCGCAGAGAAGAGGCTCTGGCGTGCTCTGCCCTGCCTCTGCCTGGGGAAGCGCAGGGTCGGCCTTTCTTTTCCAAGGGGACCCAGCAGCTCTTTCCCATCAGGGTCCCCGAGTCGCATTGCCGCAGAGGAACAGCAGCATTTCCTCCAATCTTGGGGGCAATGAGGGGTTCACTCCTCAGGTGCCCCCCCCACTAGAACTCCGTGGGCCCCCTGCTCTCAAGCCCAGCGCCCGACTCCTCCCCCGTGCCTACCTGGAGGCTTCTTCAGGTAAGGCGGCTTGCGAGGAAGAGGAGGCAGGGGGCGGCCCTCCTTGCTGCTCCCCCGACGCCCCCCAGGACGGGATCTTCACAGGGCCAGGCAGGGGGGGGGCGCTGGGACAAGAAAGCCAAGCAGGCCCGCTGCCGCTCCTGGGAGTGGCGAGGCTTTCCTTGGCCTTCCCCTCTGCGAGGCTCCCCTCGGTGGCACCTGCTGAAGCATAGAAAGAGCGAGGAGGAAGTCCTGGTGCACGGGGGGGGGGTTGAGGGGGCTGTGAAATGCCCCCTCGGCCTCTTCTGGCCTTCTCTGAAAGCCCCTGCCAGACCCCCACAGTCAAAAGGCAGGGGGGGGGAATAAGCCCTTCACTTCCTGGGGTGGCTTTAAGGGTGGGCTCGTCCCCTTCTGAAGGAAGGTAGGGGGATTGTCTTTCCCTCCTGCAACCACCCTGACCCCCCCCAAAAAAATCTGGCTTCCAGGCAGAGCTGAGCCAGAGTCACAGCCTGGTGCCTGCCTTGCAGCACAGGAGCCCCACAGAGCCCCGGGTGGCCTTTCCACTCCAAGGCCATTCCTGGCTGCCTGGCTTCTCCCTGGCATGGAACTGCCAGCCCTGACCGGACTCCCACCATAGGTGAGCCCAATTCTGGGACATTTTGTAAGGGAATAAGCAACAAGCTTCTTAAAGGGGAGGAGTGTACTTAAATATTTGAACAGCTATTTCTAACTAATGAGAAATAATGGCCAAATTTGTCACAAGTGTGTTTTCCAAACTGAATAGAGGTTCAGCATTCATGTTTTAAGTTCCTGGATTGGCCCCACTTTGCCTCCTGCACCCAAATTACCTTCCTCTGCAGAAAGCTGGGGGGCCATCTTGGCTACTTTGGCTGGACTTCTTCCCCGACCGATCTTTTCCCTGGGGAAGAGCAGAAGAGGAGCAGTTGGCAGACTCTCTGGAGTACCTCAAGATGGGGGGCTGGCCTAGGCACCCTTAGGCCAGAAACCCCCCCCCCCATCTCACTGCAAGCCCTTCAGAAGACAGCTCGCCCTAAGAGGGAGGCCCACTAGTGCTGCCCCCATTAAGCAAGGCCCTGCCCCACATCAAGTTTTTCTGGGCACGCACCACTGCAATCAACCGACTGGTTCTCAGAGGAGTCAGCAGACCTACCGGCGACGGACATTCTTCCCATGTTCTCTGAAGCCTTTGGCAAATGGATTGTTGTAGATCTTCAGTTTCGTGACCTTCAGAGAAAGAGAGGCAGTCAGCATCTGCACTAAACACTGCATTTGCAACTCTTTTCCTGTCTGGTGATTTGCCAGTAAATGCTACAAAACCAGGTGCCTATAAGGCTTACTGTTCTTTGCCTGGCACCCCTCCCCGCTGGGCACTGCTCTGCTCCTAGTAGCTAGTAGCTACAACCCCAGTTGCAAAGCGAGGCCTGTTTTAAGGCACCACAAATGATCCGCTTCTCTCCTCTGGGGAGGGGGTTAGGGTTAAAAGGCTTGGCTTGGACAGCCATGCAGTGGGACAAGGGCCAGAGAGCTGTTACGGGGCCTCCTGCTGCCTTCCTGATGTTTTCATGACTGCCAGCTATGAAAAGCCCGTCAGCAGGAGTAGGAGGAGGCATGAAGAGGGAGCTGGTTGGATGCATGCCCCGAAGACTGGACTTGGTTTCAGATGCAGGCCCACCAGCGGACTAGTAGCAGCCCTAGGAAAGTGGCTCCTCTGGGGACCAAGCCAAAGGCCCGTGCCCAGCTGCAGCCTAGAGATCCTCCTTCCCAAGGCCTGGCCCTGGGCCATCTTCATGAGCAGCCTTCTGTTGACATACACATCGCTCCACCTTTTCATTCTGATAGGCGGTCACAGAGGTGAAGACGGTCTCTGGGAAGCTGAAGGAATGGAAGATGCTGCAGCGGGTGCTGAAGAGGCCGTCTGCCTGCATGACGTGGAAACGCGGCTTATAGCGATGCATGGAGTGAAGGATGACCTGGGAGAGGAGAGCCAGAGGACAGACAACTCAGAAAGTGTCTCCTGACAGGCTTGCACAACTTGACTTGTGGACTTCTTGGGTTGCCAAACTCTTTCCTCACCAGTGGCCACCAAGACTCGATTGCTAGTTGCTAGAATCACAAACTCAGATCCCAAACTTTAAAAAAAAAGGCCCGTGCTATCCTGGGAAGGCACCCCGCATTCATCCCAAGGAAGTTGATTCAGGAAGACCTTTGTGTGGGGTGAGGGGATTTTCTGTGGGACCTGAGAGACCACTAGCTGGATGAGGTGCTGAGCTGCCAGGATTCCGAGGCTGGGGGCAAAACAGCCTGTGTACTGGGCGAAGAAAGCAGCAATGGGAGTCCAGGAAAAGGGCATCAAGACCATCCGAGATCCACCAAGTTCTTTTCCACAGGACAGAGCAGAGCAGAGGAACAGGATGTTGTTCAAGCCTTTTAAGGATGGGGCTGGCTTGACCTTCCATCTGGCTGAGAGGAAGAGGAATAAGGGAACAGGGTGGGGCTGGCAAGATGGGCAGTGGGGGAATGAACCAGCAGGAAATGATTCCTCAAAGGAGTAGGGGTGGGGTAGAGAAAGAACCCTTAAGGTGGAGGAGTGGCAGCGATACTGTAAGCATCAGGAAACCCTTGCCAGTGGAGTTCAGAAGGAGAAAGAGACAGGAAAGAGAGGAATTGCCAGAGAAGCTGTGCACCCAGAAACATAACGTCAAAGAGATGGAAAGCTCATATCCAAAATAGCAGCTAATATGTCCAGAGAATGGGAGACCCCGTGAGTGCTACCCGATGAATAAAGCAGAGAGTGCACAAGGGATTTAAGGTAGCCAGTTAAGGGCAGTCCCTAACATATTTTCCTTTGGCTTCAAAATCTAAGGGACTGGTTTGGACAAAACTCAGCAGCACTTTTTCGTGCGGCTGCTGATAAAAACAGGATCGCCAACATGATCGCCAATGTCCGATAACGGATATGGCACAAGAAGAAGAAGAAGGATTTTCCTGATCATTTTCAATGGAAATAAGAAGTAAAAACCTTCAAATAGTTATGACTAAAAAAAACAAAAGTGAAGATGAATGGACCTCCGCAGACCTGATCTCAAATACATCTACATAAGCAGTGGGAGTTGCCTCTAGAAGTTGTGGGTGCTCCATCCCTGGAGGTTTTCAAGAAATGATGGGACAACCATTTGTCTGAATTGGTATAGGGTCTCCTGCCCGAGTAGGGGATTGGACTAGAAGACTTCCAAGATTNCCAATGCTGTTATTCTGTTATATATTTGTTACGAGGTCCAGTTATGCTTGAAAAATCTTAGATGACAAATGAGGACAAAGAAAAGCTACTTAAAGAAAAATAGCACTGTGGCAGGAGCCGGCAGAGGAAGGAACTCCCCACAAGGAAGGCAATCCAAGAAAAGCCCTGCCCACTAGACCACAGTGACTGTCAGAAGCCAAAGACCCAAGGCAGAAGAAACAGCCTGGGGGCTGCCCTAGAAGAGGCGGGCTTTCAAGAGAAAGAAAGTAGACACCCCAGCACAGGAGGCCAGCGACTGGGTTCCCGAAGGATGGAGGAGGGGCTTTTGCATCCAGCCAGAAAACAAAGAGAAGAGGCAGCAGGGGGCAATTCACTCCATGAGCTACTGGAGGAAATGGTGCCGATGGAACCATTGGTTTCTGAAGGTGCTGTTGGCCAGGACCACACCTCAGGGATGCCACAAAAGCTTTCAAGAACACTCAGTTACTCCCTCTAAAGTTAATTCCTCTTAACACATCTGGGAACAGGTACTGACAGGACCAGCTGCAACAATATCACCATGGATGCCATAGATCAGTGGTGGCAAACCTATGGCACAGGTGCCAGAGACAGCACTCGGAGCCCTCTCTGTGGGCACATGTGCCATTGCCCCAGCCTTGCCTCCCCCCGTGACCCCCTCCTCACCAGCAGCCCCCTGGAGGAGAATTGCCCCTGAGCGTGGCCCACCCGGAGCAGCGCAGCCAAGGACATGGCAGCCAGGCAGTGTAGACAAGACTCTACCCTCACACCCCATTCCGCACAGCGGGGCACGGGAAGAGGGCGTGACCGCCATAGCGCTGCTGGGCTGCCTGGGCGATCTGCGGCGGGCCCTGGAGGCGGTGAGTGGCCCTGCAGGCAGGCGGTGCGGGTGATGGGGGGCTGGAGCAGGAGCAGAGCAGGGGGTGGAGCGGAGGCGGGGCCAGGTTTTGGGCACTCGTCTCTAAAAGGTTCGCCATCACTGCCATAGATCAAGAAATGATCCTCAAAACCCCCAAGGCAAATGAACTGTTGGGTGGCATCAACAGAAGTAGAGTAGTTCTCCTTTCGCTTTTCCTGCATGGTCCCCTCTTTAAGTACTGTGTCTGCCATACTCTATGAAGGGCTCAGCATCTTTTCTGCATGCTGTCTGCAAGAGACAGAATAACAGGTGAGGCTCAAAGGAGGAAGAGGCAGGAGGAAAGCCCGAAGAAGAACCACAGCGCTTCAGCAACAAAGCTGTCCAGCAAGGTGATGGGTTCATTTTTACAGGATGCGAGTTGAACCATCTGTCCCAAAGGCTTTAACATGGGAACTCATTAATTATCAGGAGATTATTATTTTACTGGCAGACAAAGGCCATTCCATGGTGGTGATGAACAGCACAAGTTATGAAATGAAGACATTCGACCTGCTCAACGATTCCTCAGCATATCCTTTAGACCAGCAAAGACATCAGAGATGAGAACGATGATCGCACAATTGAATGCTTATTTCAGACAACTCAAACAAAACAACTGTATAATGAAAAAAGGAGCAATGGAAAATGAGAGGAACAGACGCCACCCCAGCAAGATTGGACTCCCAAGATACACAAAATAGGAGACCCCTATTGTAAAGCTACAAGATACTCCTACCTACAACCTGGCTAAATGGCTGGCACAACGCTTAAACTTCCTGACCCCACAATGACTTAATAACTGGCCATCAACCCCCCAATCAACAACCAAAAAGCCACACACAACTAGGCACCACATAAATAGTATGCATAGAATAGCCCAACGGTGAGGGAGAAGTTCCCTGAGGACAGGCTCCAGCACAAGTCCAACAGCTCGGAAGACTAAACTGCTGGTCCCGGTGGCCAACCCAGGTTGGACCCTGCAACATTATCCTGGGACACATACATTCGCCTTCATTTGTCTCATTAATTTAATTAAATTAGCTCCTGCTACCTATATAATTCTGAGACATAAGAGAGTTTGGATTTTATAAATGCTAATGCTTAAATATTAGCAAACGCCACTAGAAACATGGTGACAATTTTTTAAAAGTTGAATTCGGAAGGATTGAAGAGAAAAGAAACTACAGGAACATTTTAAGGAAGGTCTGAGCGTTTTTTCTCTGCTGGACTGAGACTACCAGCAATCTGGCCTATGATGGAAGTCCTGGAAGGAAGAACTGGAACTGGAGGGAGTTGCTTAAGAGGGGTGGCCGTAACAATCTTTTAGATAAATAAATAGAGAGAAGGAAAAGCTAAAGCTGTTATAGGAGGAGGAGGACTCTAAGACTGATCTATAGTTCTGCAAAAGAGACTTCAACCTGGGCCTGGAGATCAGCATCTGCATGAAAACTATTGCAAGAGGTGGGTAGTGCATCTTCCAAGGAGGCTCTAATGACCAGGGGGTGCAGGGGCTGCCTGACATGAGGGACGTAACTCTGAGCAGCAAAGGCAGCCTAAGGAAGAGACGTGAAAGCATGCAAAATTAGAAAAGTGGTCAGTGTACAGAGGACTCAGGGATTGTCAGAGAAGATCTGGAGGATATGATGATATAGTCAATTCTAGTCTTGTTCTTTTCTGCAAAGTTCTCTCAAACTTGTCTAGATCTTCACATTGTTGTGCCCTCCCAGGTCAGCCCTGTTATGCATTGATAGATATGTGCAATTTGCAGGCCACTGACTGTCCACTGCATGGCTTGCAGTTAAAAAGGAAGAAAATGGCAAAAGACCCGTACATGCCCCTGCTGGTCCAAGGTGTTGTTTGTCAGTTTGAGTTTCTGGAAGGAAACGGGCTCCTTCATCCAGTGGCTACCCAGGGCAGGAGATTCTGGGTGGACGTATGTCCGGCATGGGGGCTGTGGCTCGGCTTTCCCTGCAATCTCCCACTGGTCCTTGTTCCACTGGGGAGAAGGAGAAGGAACAAAACGTCATCACGTGGCCTGCCTCCTTGTGGCCTGCTCTCCCCCCCCCCCAGGAGCAAGCTCCTTCTTCCAACCAGGTACTGCTCAGCTGGCCCTCCCTGTCCCCCCTGCCTGTCCCTCCCCCCTGGAGAGGGTCCCAAGGCAGAGATGCAGCCGGTGAGCAGAGAAGAGCCATTAGCTTGTAGAGCGTTACAAGGGGGCTCTGGGTGCAAGAGAGACCAGGACTGTTCCCAGCTCTCCTGGGAACAGAGGCAAAATGGCCCTCTTGCTGCACCACAAGACACAGCCCTGCTGACACAGCAAAAAGGCCTGGAGACATCTTCAGAAGCTGCAAGCTTTTGGTGAATCACCTTTGGTGAGATGGATAGCTATATAAATATATTTTTTAAAAAGATATAAAAAATAAAATAAGTTGTACACTTGCATATTGAGTCCATGTTTTTTTCTTTTTTTGCTGATTGTAGGAACACTCTAGATCAGGGGTGTCAAACTCAATTTCACTGAGGGCCGCATCAGCATTGCGGTTGTCCTTGGGGGCCAGGTAGGTGTGGCCAGGGTGGGCGTGGCCTATTGGGTGGGCATGGCTGGAGTGGGTGTGGCCTACTGGATGGGCATGGCCAGCTCTACATCGTTCATGTCAAGGGTGCCTGTGGGGGCCTGGGCAGGAGTGGGACAGATCTGAGGGTCTCTGGCAGAAGGGGGTGGGACCGGGGCAAGTGCCAAGGCATGATCCACTGGAAGAGCCTGCCGAAACCCCTCTCCCGGAGCCCATCAAGCTGGATATGTGAAGTAGGCGAGGGCCATTTGCTGACTACTTCCAGGCGATGGTCCATTTCTTCATTCCTCACAAAGGGTGACTGACACCTCCCCAGTGTGCACCCAGGGGGCGGGGCCAATGCGGCGGGGGCCGGTCCCTTGCTGTTTCCAGACGGCCTTGTAGAGCTAAGACTGAATGCGTTTCAGCATAGATGGCCACCACAAAATTGTACATTGGCTCCCGGGCGACCAGGGCCGGGGGCCAAGGCAGCGGGGGCCATTCCCTCACTGTTTCCAGGATGGCTTCGAGGGCCACATGAAACCACGTCGCGGGCTGCATCCAGCCCCCGGGCCTTGTGTTTGACATGTCTGCTCTAGATATTTCAAACTAAAATCTTATACCATCAGCCATCTAGTGTTTCTCTGAGCTGTCTGCAAGACTGAACTCCAGAGAGGCTGTTTTGTAGGGTCTTGGTCCTTTCTGGACATGCCCAGAAGGCTGTGCTGAAGTGCCAGCATTGGTCACCAACATAGGGACTGTCTTGTTTCTGACCAAACTGCTGGCTGGGGTTTTGGAGTGGAGAGTCCTCAGTAGGCTGAAGGCCACTGGGTCTTCTACACTGCTCCCACCCTTCTAACATCCAGGAAGCAATCAGTCATACGAACCATTCCTAGAACCATTCCTAATCTCAGTCGGCTGGAGGGCCAAGGACAAGATGGAGGAAAAAAGTGGGCTCAGGGAAAGGCTTTGACTCACAGCCATTGCTGAGTTTTCGGGGAGGGGGACACAGCAGGCCTTCACAATCAGGTCCAGTGCACCCTCTGCCCCCCTCCCTGAGGAGACCGACCTGGCTCTCCATAGCTTGGTTCCCCTCCCCATACAAAGAGAAGATAGCAAAGACGCCACCCTTTCCCTCTCCATTCTTTTAATGGCTGGCTTCAATTCAATTCTGATCTTTTCTTTCCTGTACTCCTTGTTCTTGCTACCTGCCTTGAGAGATGAGATATCATCTCCATAAATAAGCTACCTCCACCCCCCACCCCCAGCTTCCATTTCAGCCATTCTCCAGTTTCAGCTGCCGGCCAAGGGTGGAGCAAGATTCAAAGCCCAGAGCTACTTCATGCTCAGTATCTCACCTGGTGGGACCCGCGTCTTGCTTACCTTGTACCTGAAGTTGTCCATTGGCATGAAATCTACCAGCATGAGATACTTGGCATATGGGATCAAGCCAGTAACTTTGATCTTGAATTGTGGAAACATTCGTCTGTGGAAAAGGAAGGGATTGCTTAAGAGATCTTAAAATGGTCCCTCTGGGAGGATTTAAACAGCAGCTGCTGCTGCCTTTGATGGACCTCCAACATCGTTCATTGTCTTTGATGGGTTTCCATTTTTTTCTGTGCCATCTTTCCCCATCCCAGAAAAGACCATGATGGCTCTTGATTGATTAGGCCAGCGGCAGCCTCAGGCAGCTTTGGCCACCTGCAGAGGCCCCTGTTTGTTTGGACATCTTAGTGGGGGGGGGGGACCTTGGTATTTATTTCAAGGGCCTCAATAAATATAGAGCGATGCTAAAGTTTAGGGAGGAAAGACCCTTTTGGAGTTGCCACTAGGACCCTCTCAAGGCCTGTTTCCCAGGGTCTCTGAGGGCCCAAAGAAGCCCCAGTGAGCTTGGAAGTCATCCTAGTTGTGGTGACACCAGGTTGCATTCATTGTGGCACCTCAGAAGAGATGGGGTGGTTGGTAACTCCAGAAGAGGGAAAAGAAAGCAGGCGAGTCTTCTTTGAATTGTCCACTTGTGGCACTAGGGACAAACCTTCTCAGGTTTTTTGTTTTGTTTTGTTTTTGGGTCCTTAGTCTTGCAGGACTGATATTAAATACATTTTGCATCTAGAATCATTTTTAAAGGGTAGAAATTTTCTCTGATTTTTACACAGTGCCAAGTTCAGGGAGGGTGGTCAGCCAAGAGCAGCTGTGCATTGCTACAGAAGAATAAAGCGTCATTCGGAATTCAGAATTGGGTGATGGCAAAAGCCAAGCAAAGAAATTTCCAGGAAAGTTGGCCATTCCCAAGCCATCTTCAGATGCCAGACGTTCGCAGGAGAATCTGAGCAGAGAGTCGTGCTCTACTCTTGCCCCAAATAATCTCGCAACACAAGATTTTAAAAAGCTTTGCTCACCGCCCAGTTTTGGTAATAATCATCTCTGTCCCTGTACGGTGAAACTTGGCCCAAAGGTGCGGCTCTTCAAGAGTGACGGCTACGGAGCTGTGAGGAGGGGTGGAGGAGGTCTCCAACAGGGCAGGTTGAGCCTGGAAGCCTTCAAAGGAACAACGGAACAAGAGCAATTCCTAGTGAGGCTGGGCCAGCCCATCCCTCCCCTGCAAAAGTGCCTTCAGCAGCAGCCCCCCAGCCTCCCTTCCACTTTCACCCCCCTATAGATTCTGTCTGTGGAACAGAGCTTCTGGGCAACTTGAAGATGTGTGGGCTTCAACTCCCGAAATCCCCAGCCAGCATGGGAATGGAAGTCGTCCATACATCTTCAAATTGCCAAGGCTGAGGAACGCTGCTGTGGAATAACCTGCATCCTCCACGACTGGGGAATGTGGTTGGGTCAGGAATGATGTTCCCTATCATTTCTGTTTTAACATATTCTCCAAACATTGATTTTTTAAAAACTATTTCTGAAAATTAAATATGTATGAAATTAAATGATGTATGAACATGAGAAATTAGAATTTATAAAAAAATTAAAGTAAGAATTTGACATAACATGTAGCAGGAATTTCAGAATTTTCTGAAATGTGATTCAGGTTTTTTTGGGGAAAAAACAATTTGTAGGTAGCATTAGATTTTAAATTGATGGATTCTTTTCTTTCCAGCTCCACTTCCTCTGAGACAAATTTGTTCCCCCAATTTGGGGGCATGTACCGCCCACCCCTCCTGCCTCCAGCTGAGACCAAGTCCTCCACTGGGCTCTCCCTGGCAGGGCAGTTGGTGGAGATGCTGGAGAGAATCGCCCTCCCCCTCCGGTCACCTGTGCCAGTCACAGATCCACTTTCAGATGCTCCGTGCAGCACGGAGCATCTGAAAGTGGATCCTGTGTTGTGGATGAGCACCTGGAAAGGGGCTGGGAGGCTGACCAAGCAGAGCTTGCTGGAACAGCTCAGGGTGCCTTCCCCCCTCCTCTCTGCCGCCAGGTTCAGTGCAAGCTCCAGGCCAGAATAAGGCAGCTAGAGCCCGGCAGCCACACCGCTCTCTGCCCCCCTCCCCCGCGAAGCTTGCCAGGTCCTCCACTGCTCTAACTCCAGCATGTCTGGCCACTACAAAGCCAGCCAGCCAGCCTGCCTGCCTAAGTGGGGAGGTTTTACTTGTAAACCAAGATACACAAGTGTGACATGTGGCACAGAATTTGATAAATGAAACAAGCAAACAAGTAATAAGTGAGAGTTCCCTGAATGGTGTCCAATAAAAGGAGAATCCGAGATGCCACAAGAACAAGGGCAACCGAGGGAGACATCTGGGCCTTGAACAAGCGCCTGGTTGGACATTCAAGGGACAGCCAGAGGCTCAGCATGGCCAGCAGCATTTGGGTCAGAAAGGAGACATCGTCAGTGGTCAAGGACTTGGAGGAGATGAACGAATCACTGGACTTAGAGCTAAAGAAAAAAAAAGGGGATTGTGTGTGCCAAGGGGCTACATCCGGATCACTGTAGCCAAGAGGAGAGAGAGGTCTTCCGCCAACTCAAAGGCCTCCCCTGGGACCCTGGAGACCCCCACCAATAAGTCTCCAGCTTCCTGTCCATGGCCCCAGATGTCAGTTCCCTCTCTCATCCAGGGGTTGCTGCGCTGCCTTCCCTAACCTCAAACCAAGAATCCCCCCCCCCCGCCCCACAAAAGGACATTTCCCAGCAAGGCAAACAGATCAGGCCACAAAAGTTCTGGGCCATCTCCTTTGGGCCGCCTGATTTGCAGAGGAGACTCGAAAGGTCTCCCGCCGCCTCCCCTCGCGCTCTTCACCCCCGCCCTGGCTCCGGGGGGCTTCGCTGGGTCAGAGACCCCCCCCCGCGCTTAGAGCAGGCCGAGCGACCCTACCCGATCCCACCTGCATCTTGCCAAGGCCGGCCGGTGCCGAGGGAGGCGGGCGGGGACGGTCTTCCACGGAAAGGCCCTCGCGGAGAAGCGGACGCGGCCACCCTCCTCGCGCAGCTCCGCCGGACGCCGAGACCCTGGGCCTTATGAAGGCGGAGCGGAGGCGGGTGCCCCCCACCCCGCGAGGCCATCCGGCCTGTCCCCAAAGGAGGCGGGAGGCGGGTCGCCGCGCAAGCAGGGAAAGGCGGCGGCCAATCCGGGCGGCTCGGCAGAGGCCGGGGGGGGGGAAGGGGACTCGACGGACTCGGAGCCGAAAAGCGCCCCCCCCGCCAGCCGCGCGCCCGGAGGAGCTGCCCGTCCCGGGGCTGCAGGCTCCGGCGGGCGCGGCGTCGGGGCTTCTTGCCCGGCGGGGGACTCGGCTCGGCTTCTGGGCCGGCGGCTGGAACGAGGCGCGGCGGAAGGGCGGCTCTCGGGCACCTCCCGCGCCGCCCGCCCCGACGGAGAAGGAGTAGCCGCTGCCCGCCCAGCCGGGGCCCGCGGAGGGAGGGGGCTCCGCTCTGCCGGGTCCCTGTGGCTGCCCGGCCGAGGAAGGCGCTCTTTCGCCGGCGCCCTCGGCTTGCCCCGCGGGGCTCCGGGACGGCTCGGCGCCAAGGCGGCAGGCAGCGCAGGACCCGAGGCTGCCTGCGGAGGGGACGCCCGCGGCTCCCGGCGCCTTCAGCTGGGCGGGCGGACGACGCTTCAAGCCGGAGAAGCGCGCTGGGAATCGGGCCGGTCGCGGGCAGGCCGGACTCGAGCGTGGCTGGGTGGATCTCGGCGGGGCGGGCGGCGCGCCTCCGGGGCCGACGAGAGGCGCGGCTGCTGCGCTACGTCCGACCTGGGAGTGCGAGGGGCGGCTTGCCTTCTGCTCCCCCCCCCCGCCGGCTCTTCCTTCGGGGCTGTGCGGAGCTCCTCCGCCGCCTCCCGGGCTCTCCCGCCTCGTTCGCCCGGGGCTGCCGTCGCGCTACTTTCCAGCCAGACCCCGCGGCTTCTCCGGCGGGCTTCCTCGGGGACCTGCCCTGCTCGACGGCCCCGCTCCGGCTGCCGGGGGTCTCCGTCGTGGGAGCGCCCCGAGGCCTCCACCGCGGAGCCGAGGCAGAGAGGACCCGCGGGCGCCGCCTGAGCCCCAGGAATCTCGCCGTGCCGGCTGTGAACAGCCGCGGAAACGGCCCCGTCGGGGAAGCCAGAGGAGAAGCGTGACCTTCCGGGAAGGGGTTGTTCGGGCTGCCCCGGGCGGGGAAAGGGGGCGGGCGGGATTGCCGCCCTGGTTGCTCTCAGCCGACTCCGGGGAGGCGCTCCGAGTCCCCTCCGAGGCTCGGCTCAGCGCTTGCTTCCCACCCGGACGGAGCGGGCTGCCCCCTTATTTTGGGCGGCTGCCAGCGAGGGCTCGCTGCTACCCGCTTCCCCGGCCAGGCTTGTTTTTTCGTTCCGGGCATCTCGGCAGAAACGTGCGTGAAGAAAACACTTGAAGGAAGGAAAGAAAAAAGGCTTGTCGTTTAAGAAGAAGGAAAGAAAGGCGGGAGAGAAGAAGGAAGGTCTGGAGAGGAAGGAAAAAGAGGGAGGGAGAGAGAGAGAGAGAGAAAAAGGAAGGAAATGGGAATTAGAGGAAAGAAGGATGGATGGATGGAAGGAAGGAAGGAAGGAAAGAAGGAAGGAAGGAAAAAGGGAGAGAGAGAGAAAAAGGAAGGAAGGAAATAGGAATGAGAGGAAGGAAGCAAAGAAGTGAGGAAGGGAGAATAAAAAAGGAAGAAGGGAAGAAGGGAGGGAGAGAAGGAAGGAAATGGAATGAGAAGAGGGAGGGAGGGAGGGAGGGAGGGAAGGACAAGCACTCAGGCTTAAAAGATGCTCTGTCTGTGTGGTCACTGTTCTCTCCCAGAATCTTAGAAAAGTGACTGAGCTGGACGGCTGAGTGAAGGGCCCTCTCTGAGGGGGAAGCACTGCCAGTTTTCTGCACACTCCCCCCCCCCAACTCTTCAGACTGGAGAATCTCATCTCATGTGAGGGTGGGGGACACAAAGGGCAGAGGCTGCCCAGCCTTTCTAAGGCATGGGAACCTGCACCCTGTTTGGAGAAAGCAGGAGGCTGTTCATTATTTGGCACTTTTGCACATCTTGGTCTCCATTGCCCTGAATGGGAACGGCAGGCTCAAGAGAACATAAACCGCTCCTCCACCCCATCTCCCATTAATATGCAAGTGGACCTCCTCGTTAATTGCATCCAGTGATCACTTTAGCTTTGCTTTATTGCTTCACTTAATGGAGCTGTGACAATCCAGGGAATCTTTTAAAGAAATTGTTACTGTCACCTAAGGGCACCTGCACAGGCGCCCTTAATTGGGTTCTTTAAGGTGTGGAGTTCTCGGGGGCCCTGAGCTAGGCTGGGTGCAGGAGGGAGCCTCTGTCCCCCCACATGGGCCCTGCCCAGAGCAGGCAAGCTGGCTTGATCCAAAGGGGAAGTGGTAGGCTCCACTTTGTTCCACTCCTCCCTCCCCTTGTGCAATTTGCATGGGTATGGCATGTCCATGGCAAGGCCGGATCTGCTCAGCTCTGGGCTGCCTTTGTCAGTTGCAGGCTGGCTCCCTCCTGCACCACTGCTGCCAACACCCTTTCGCAACTGTTTTGGCCACTGGAGAGAGACAAGGACAGGACCAGCATGGCCGTGCAGATTGCCAGAGAACACAGGACGGCAGCCCTTTAAGGCCTAAGAGTCTCCCCAGCCAGACTCATGGACTCAAGCCTCCTGGGGCTGGAAATGGCTCAGAGATCTTCTAGTCCAGCCCCCTGCCCAGGGCAGGAATCCTTAAACTATCCCGACAAATGACCTGCCAGCCTTTGCTTGAAACCCTCCAGGAGCCAAGTTCTCCCCCTGCATCAAGGCTCTCCTGATCTCAGATCTAGATCTCCCTCAGGAAGCTTCCACCCACCAGTTCTTCTGCTGCCCTCAAGAGCTGTGTAGAATAAATGCAGACCCTTTAGGCTAAACATACTGGGTTCTTTTATCTGGTCTTCAGTGTTTTTTCTTATTTGTGACAACCAGAACTGGCCCCAGCATTCCAGGGCATAGAATGGAACTATCACCTTCCATGCTCTCAGTGCTCTATCCCAAACATTGCTCCAGCCCAGGATTGCATTAGCTATTTTGGCAGCTGCAACCCCTTGATCGTTCTCCCCAGCATTCTGCTGGTTCACTTTGTGCACCCAGTTTTTCCTGCCTACTTGCCTGCCTCCTGAATGGATTTTTGAGAAAAGGGCCTGATGTTCAAGTCTATCTTTCTGAATCCTGAGCCTGCCTTCTGAGGTGTTGGCTGTAGCTGCAACTTTGGCTTGCCTGCCAATCGTCTGAGTCATTTAGGAAAGCACCGAAGAGCAGTGTTGGGCCAGGACAGAACATAGCAGGGGCAGAGAGGGATGGAGGTTTTCTCTGCTAATAAGCAGAGAAAACTATCAAGTCCTTATACCTTGGCAGCGGCTTCCTGCCAGTCACTTCATTATTGTTTCTTTCACTGGGCAGTCTGTTTCATGTCATCTACACTCAACTAGGATCGAGCAGGTAGGTGGAAAACTATACGTGCCTGCTAACCAAAGACTAAGAACTATGCAAATGTACCACGACTCAAAATGAGCGGGACATTTTGGGTTTGTAAAAACCTTACACCTTCTCAAAAGGCACTTCTGGTGGCCCTCACTCAAGAAAGACGTTGAAAGTTATGTTTCCAGCTGCCCCATCTGTGCTTCAGCAAAAGGGAGGCAGGGAAAAACGCCAGGGCTACTCCAAACAATAGCTGAACCTTCAGCACCCTGGAGAGAGATTTCCATGGATTTTATTGTAGAGCTCCTTGAAAGCTTGGGAAACACTGTAATTTGTCATTTGACAAAAAAGGCCAACAAATGACTATGTCGGGTCGCTCCGGAACGCTGCCATAAGAAAGGGGAGGGGGAGCGTGTATGAGTGTGGATTGAGGATGTTCCTCTACTCTAACCTTCGTTGCTGCTTTTGCTTTGATGTATTCACATGGGAATTGAGGGGGGAAATGCCTTGGGGGCCATCTGGTTTCACAGGTGCCTGGGAAGCCGGCTGGTTATCACCTTTTTGGCCAGAAGTTCTCATAACATCTTCACATCAGCGGATTGGCTCCTGATGGACTGGGGCATTGGGTTGGAGCTGAAGAAATGGGACTTTCAGCTTAATTCTTTGTACGGGAACTTCAGATACCACCTTTTTACTCTGCAATCACATTCTCTCAGTAAAAGATCCTCTTTGAAACAATGCCTGTTTCCTGAGTGTGCTTTCCTGGGGGAATAGCTGAGGCAGGCCTTACAAGGCCTACAAGGAGCACCCATGGTATTTGTGCAACTAATAAATGAGGTGCTCCATGAACATTTGTCAAAGGGGTCCTAGTGTATCTTGATGATATCCTTATCTACATCGATGCTATATGCTATAACTGTCTTTGGGTACTTGAGGGGCTGTCACAGAGAAGAGGGGATTGACTTATTCTCTAGGGCACCAAAGGGCTGGACAAGAAGTAATGGCTGGAAGCTTGTTAAATAGAGTTCCAACCTAGAATTAAGGATAAATTTACTGACAGCAAAGACAATTAATCAATGGAACAGCTTGTCTCCCAGAGTTGGGGACAAAAAAGACTGGACAGCCATTTGCCTGGATGGTATGAGGCTCCTGCCATGAGCAGAGGGTTGGACTAGAAGATCTCCAGGATCTTTTCCAACCTTTGGAGTCTATGAGTTCTAGACATTGAAGGATTTACCGGCTAATAGACCCTTGGTGACTTTCTCCTAATTTCTCCAGCACCACCCTTTACAAGGATCAACCTTCTGATGTTTCCGTTTTTGAAGCCATATATTACACATGGGGAAATGGGGGCATTCGTAGTATGTATCCCTGTTGTCAGTGTGACATCTTTGCATTTAATATGGTCGGCATATCTGAGCTTTCCCCCAGCAAAGTTAATTCCAATTTCCACTTAGACTTATATACCACTTTACAGTGCTTCACAGCCTTCTCTAAGCGATTTACAGAGTCAGCCTCTTGCCCCCAACAATCTGGATCCTCATTTTACTGACCTCGGAAGGATGGAAGGCTGAGTCAACCTTGAGCTGGTGATACTCGAACTGCTGACAGCCGGCAATCAGCAGAAGTAGCCTGCAGTACTGCATTCTAACCACTGTGCCACCTCGGCTCTGGACACAGGCTTAATGGTCTTCCAGCAACGTCCAAACATAAACCAGCTGAGAAGTGGGTGGAGGAGGGGGCTCATGCAGGGCATCAAGAATGGTCCTCTGACTGTTGACCTGCCCTAACCTGAGCTGTCAGTGGTAGACTAAGGCATGCTTCCTGTCACTTGAGTCACAAGGGGAAACACTGGTGCCTTTGTCGATTGCACCCTTTCCCCAAATATTCCAGATCAATTCATGCTGCAGCAAGTGGTCCCAGTGGGCAGTGCTGGAAATATCAAAGCCCCCCCCCCAGAGTTGGCAAAATGGCTCCTCCCTCCCTCCCTCCCAGTGGGAAGGAACCTTGTCATCAGAAGCAGCCTGTAATGCCCTCATAGGGGACTGAACCAGGAACATTTCCCTTTCATAGTATAAATCAGCAAGATGATTTATACTCTTTGACAGACAGAATGGCTGTTTTGGGAAAAGACCACTGAAGGAATTTTAGTAACCAATTTAGCAGTCCATTTAATGCCAGAAAGGCATGTTATGAAATTCTGATCAAAGAAAACCCAGGCAGATGTCTCCATGCAGATCAGGACACTGGCCTCCTTGGCTGACAAAGAGCCAACAGTGACCAGTGACAGAAATGGAGAAGGTTCTGCCCACAGCAGCCTCCACAGGCTGACAAGACCTGGGCAAATGCTGGACTCACTGCATTATTACCACAATCATGAGTGATGTGTGATCATTTGTGTGCTAAATCTTCTGTTGAAGAATCCAGAAAATTGAATTCCAATCTTGCAACCAAAGGATGAATTTAGGCTGCTTGCCGGGTGGACTTGAATGAGGCCAAGGCTACACAGGGACTTCTCTTCTAAAAACAGGAATGTGAGGATAAGTCTGTTTGGAGGTTGAATTTAAGCCCTTGGGTTAGCATACTGAGTCCATTAACCCTGTGAGTTTCTCCCCTTTCTTGCTTTTGCTAATATAATGTGTGTGCGCCTGTTTAAGCAAGCTTTTAAAATTGAGTGTACCACATCACCAAGGCCAAATACCGAAGATACTTTTTCAGCAGTTTACATGGACAGAGAAATGAGGAGATCTTGCAGGCCAAATACTGATCTTTTTAGGAAGGATTTCCATTCTCCCTTCTGATTGAAGTTTGAATGAGTGAGAGTATATTGTGAATATTCCAAGAATTCAGGGACTTGTTTTTCATCTTGCTTGCAGCAATAAGGGCAGAGCCTATGAGCTGGAAGGTCAAGTGATTCAATGCCGTTGTGAGGAGGTCCCAAAGGTGCTTTTTTCATGAGGCAACTGGACTTTCTTTTTTCTCTTTGAAGATGTTTCGCTTCTCATCCAAGAAGTTTCTTCAGCTTTCACTGAATGGTGGCAAATGGAAGGATTTATACTCCTTGCAGAAAGCTGGTCATTTGCATTCTTTTAGAGAGTCATTGATGCCACCTTGAGGCTTACCTGTGTCATCAGGGTCACCTGAATAGTGCAAATGGGTGTGGAGCCATCTTGGAACTGTTGAAAGGACTGTAGACTAAAGATAGATGATGTCGTATCCCTCCCCATTGAGAGAGGACTGTTCAGTTTTGACATAGATGGCCCCTTTGACCTCTCTTTCAAACCAGTGGTCCTCTCTGTTCAAAATGTGGACTTTGCTTTGTCTTTTACATGCAGATGGACTGCTGAACCTTGTCCTGATGGGTTTGTTCTAAGAAGCGAAACATCTTCAAAAAGAAAAGGAAGTCCAGTGGCCTCCTGAAAAAGCACCTTTGGGACAACCATGACCTGGATGACTGAGAATCTCCATAGACGTTGTGAGGAGGTGCGCAATCAAGTAGAAATGGCTGCCTGGAGGTTGAACTAGGGGTGGGAGGAGAAAGAATAGAATAGAGCTGGAAGGGACCTTGGAGGTCTTCTAGTCCAGCCTCCTGCTCAAGCAGAACCTATACCGTCTTAGACAGACGATTTTCTGATCTCTTCTTAAAAATTTCCAGTAATGGAGCATCCACGATTTCTGGGGGTAAGCTGTTCCACTGGTTGGTTGTCCTCACTGTCAGGAAGTTTCTCCTTAATTCTAGGTTGCTTCTCTCCTTGATCAGCTTCCAGCCATTATTTCTTGTCCTTCCCTTTGGTGCTCTGGTGAACAACCTGGCCCCCTCTGCCTTGTGGCAGTCCCTCAGATACTGGAACACTGCTATCATGTCTCCCCTATTTCTTCTTTTCTTTAGATTAGCCACACCCAAGTCCCGTAGCGGTTCTTCGTATGTTTTAGTCTCCAGGCCTTTGATCATCTTAGTTGCTCTTCTCTGATTTTTTTCTAAATTCTCAACATCTTTTTTGTGATAAGGTGACCAAAATTGGCTGCAGTATTCCAGGTGCAATATTCCATCTTGATTCTATGCCTCGGTTTATACAACCCAGGATTGTATTAGCTTTTTTGGTTGCTGCTGCACTCTGCTGGCTCATGGTCAAGTGATCGTCCATTAGGACTCCAAGGTCCCTCTCACAGTT